ATATATTTATAATTTTTCTGTCCCTCTGCAGGAATCCCCCCATCCACCCACCCTCCCTAAATCCATGCGGCAGAGCCGGCATCAGTTTTTATTTTTAATTTTCTGCTTGGCCGGGATATAAGGCAGCACTGTCTGGGTGCTTTTATCAGCTACGGTCTGTGTGCTGCTGTTCCTCGTCAGCCGCCGTGCCGGGGGTCCACCAGCACCAGTGGTGGAAGGATGCTTCGAGGGTGGCCCCGCCAGCACCTTACGCCCGGGTTCCTCAGGGGTGTCATTCCCGGGGGCCACGGCGTCGTCAGCATCCCGGTCATCATCACAGCACAGAGCGTGGTAAAGCACCTTGTCGCTGAATCGGACCCGTTCCCGCGTGCCGGCCGGCCGGGGATGCGGCCGGCCGGTGATGCGGGAGCTTCTGGCCGGCTGTGGTGCTAAAAGCTTCCTCACTGGATGAGTCCGGGGTGCCGCCGCCCCGGGGACCATTGGTGATGGGGATGCCCCCATTCATCAGCCGGTAATCGGGCTGGTGAGGCGGTGGGGGTTGCGGCTGTGGTCGGGGCGGGTCAGGACCATCGCCTGGGTCAGAAGGGGTGGAAGCATCCAGGAAGGAGCAGAATTCCCAGCTGTCGGAGAGGATGTCAGAGGTGGGGAAATCCAGGGGGCCCAGCTCGAAGGTGCCTCCCCCTTTCTCGCTGCTGGAGGTGCTGCTGGCCGTTGCCGTGGTCCAGTCGTCTGGCTCCAGCTCGAACTCAAAGTCGGACGTCAGGCGGTCGATCTGGCTCACCACCTGCAAACGGATGGATGGGAAGAAAGGAGCCGCCAGGCGGGATCCTCTCACTTTTCCTCCGTAATAACACCACACCCTGAAATCTCTGCCGTTTTGCCCACCATCACCAGTGTGATGAGTTGGGGGGTCTCAGCCCGAATGGAGCCACTCCCTTGGCAGGGACCTAAGCCCACCTCAGGACTATGAGTGTCATCCCAAATCCCCATGCACGCAGTATTCCTTGGTCACTTGACCATAGGGAGCCACCAGCGACCGCCACCTCCTCCTCTTGCATAAGGTCGCTTAACGTGTGGGGAAACTGAGGCAGGGAGTGGAAAATGTCCCAGGGTCGTGGGACAAAATACACGGGAAGCTGGGGGGAATTTGGGGATGGTGCTGAGATGTGGATGGGTTCAATCCCCAGTCCTCCATCTCTTGCAAGGTGTTGAGTATATCAAGACATATGAGGGTTTGGGGATAGGGACACCACACTGCAGAGGACAGCCCCCACATAGGGCATGAATTAAAAAAAACTCTTAAAACTTCAAAAACAGTAAATGCAATGTTCAACCATGAGCAAGGCTGGAAGGGGAAGATCTTCCTCCCATGCACTGTGGTCTCCATCTAATGACCTTCAGATGCCAGAGGTTGATCACCTACCTTTGTGTCTTCAATCCCACCCAGCTCAAGGGCTTCCCAGCACAGCACCAATCCTGCCCGGGGCTCCCCAATCCCACTCGAGCACCCACTGCCACAGCAGCTTCTCTGGCGTATTTCTTGGCTGGTATCTCCCTGGGTATTTATGGGTGTAGGGGAGGAGGGTAGTGGGTGGTTTGCTTTTGTGTGGGAGACAGCGACATGAAAAATTCAGCTCAGGCACAGTTGGAAGTGGGTATTTGTGGCAGGGTGACTGGCTCGCTGCCTGCCCCACGTGCCAGGGGAGCTGGCAGAGGGCCTGGCCGGGCCCAGTGCTGCCAAGCAGGTGGTGGGCAGCAGCAGACGAGGAGGGGGGCTAGGGGGAACCCCTCGACGCTCTCCCCCATACCCGTTTGGTGCATTTTGCTCTCCCTCCAAGCATTTGGGAGCGAAAAATCCCTCTTTTTCTGGCTTTTCCCAGGTGGTTCCTTCATGCATAATCGTATTTTTTCTGGTAATTTTGCATTATCACCTTGCTTGTCCCATATTTTTCCTTCTCCTGTCCTTCTACATGTCCTTTCCCAGTGGAAATAAGCCAGAAATTTCCAAAAATAAGGAAGGGAAAACAGATCAATGAACCATATCTTGCCAGACATGTTTTGTTTCCTTCTCCTTATGTCACCAAAAAGCCCTGCCATATCTCCACTGGTGCCACAGTTCATCAACAAACGTTGCATCTCCTCCACCATCAATAATAATTAATCATGGCATATATCTCCATCATTTTTATGCTGCTTTTATCCCATAACTCCATTTTTTCAAGCACTCATTCTGAGGAAAACCGAGTCCTTGGGCTCAGACACCCCATCCCATCCTTTCATTGGGTGGCCAAGGGGGGGCACCATGAAGCCACTGTGATGGTGCCACATTTCCCTTGGTCTTTGTATCTCTTTGCTAGAAGCTGGTGCACAGAGGTTTGGGTCAGCACCATAAATCACTAGAAATACACCATAAACCATGTCCCGGCAGGGTGGGCTCCTCGCAGAGCCCTCATGGTGGACGAGGACGTGTAGGCAGAGTTAAGGGTAATTTATAATGGCTGGGCAGCTGAAACCAGGAGCCTGAGGGGATGAGTGCACTGCCAACAGCCCAAATGGCTTTGTTACACTCTGCTGACCTAATTTTAATAAAATTCCCATATTCGAGCCCTAAATTTCACTTGCTCTACAGTCCTGCCCATGCAGCTCTACTGCTCTGCCAAGCTTCTGAGGACATGGCACCAAGGATGGAGACTCTGATCCCCTGTTTGCTTTTTGGGGGGATCCAGCCATAGGCATGTGGCATCCCCTCTTTTGAATCAGCTGCATGTCCCCATGGGACATCTCCGGGCCATTTCTGAGGTCACCAAATGCTGTGTGAGAACCCAGGGACAACCTGGCTGCGCACATGGTGATCGGTGCTAATGCACCTTAACGGCCTCCATCAGCTCCCCCTGGGCACCCACCCCACTCTGCCCATGGCCCAGGAACCCATATAAGCTCAGCACAGGACTAGTGACACCCCTCCTGAGCTGTATGGGGACCTGTCCTTAGCCCCATCTTTCCTGGATGGACGTCTTTAAGGTATGTTGAACTCCATTCCTGGTCCTGCCTCTGGTGCAGACCTTGGATCTACATCATGGCCTGGAAGGACTTTGGGTCCTCAAAGCAGGGTAGTGGTGGGGACAGTGAGCCAGGTGCTTCTCATCCCAGGCAGCAGAAGGCAATGAGCTTTACCTAAGCTACTCACCCTTGATCTCTGACTTATTTTTCCTGTCTCCTTGCCCATGCAAGACCTCCAGGCAGGGACCCATCCATCCTTCAAGCTTTGGCTTTGAGGGGTGCTGAGGGCAAGCTGGGAGCATCCACAGCAGCATTTGCAAGAAAGTCTTGAAATTTGAAAAGGCAAATGCTTCTGTTCCCCATGCATCACCAGATTCCTGATTTTCTTTTTTGTCTTTTCTTTGGGTGAGAAAGGGTGAAACTCAAGAAAAATATGACCTCTTCTTTCTTGGTGACAAGAAAGAATTATGAAAAAGGGCAGGGAGAACAGCTGTTCCTGGGAAACACCCGACAATTATTATTTTTTAATAAGGCAGCAAATGATTCTGCTGAAACCCTCAGCTAAAATGAGATCACCTCTGTTTTCACTGGGGCGCTCTGATTATGACACTGGGTTCAGGGAGCACATCTCCTGGGGCTTTGAGGTGGGTCCCCATCCCTGCTCCTCCTCATTAAAGGGACCCTGCTGTGATTTGGGCTTAGTGAGTGCCAGGAGAACGTATGTCCCCATCCCTGGTCCTTGTCCCCAACCCAGTCCTCACCACGGCACTTGAGGATTAATGTCACATCAGCAGTGGCTCACTCAGGGCTATTTTTAAGCCTGCTTTCTATTTTAAACGGGTGGTGGTGGCTGCGGGGAGGGGGGGGGTAGGGTGGTGTTAAATACCTATGTGACACCAGGTACCTGCTGAGGATTTAAATGTAAAGTAGGATTTGGGCTTTTCTCCCCCATTTTCTCCTTCCTGAGGTAGGTTGTGAAAGACTCCTAGCGGGCAGAGGGAGCGATCAAGCGAGGACATATCCCCTTCTTCTCTTGCCTTTAGGTATCACCATGTTGCAAAATGTCACCTTTTTGCTGACAGCAGAGCATCCCTGCTCAAAGCAAGGGTAGCCAGCAGTGGAGAAAATAGGGAGGAAAAAATAATTCTCCTTGGTCCTGTGCATGGTGTCACTGAAGGGCTTCCTCCTGCTCTGCTGGAGGACCCTGAAAGTGGGTGCTGGGTGGCCAAGGGCTCTCACGCAAAGTGACACAAGGGAGAGGGATGGACCCATGTCCCTGCAGTACCCTGTAGAGACCAGGACCAAGCATGGTGGATGTGCTAAGCCATGGTGCTGACCACTTCACCCCCACCCCAAAACTCAGCTCCCACCATTCAGCCCAACTGGGAGTGCTGGAAGCTGACCTCACCCCATGAACAGTTCCCTTGTCCAAGGATGGTGCTGGCAGCCAGGAGCTTTCCAGATGAAACCCTGGGAGTTTACCTCCCTGGCTGAGGCAGATGTTGAACATCTGGAGCAGTGTTGGTTTTTTTAATGTGATTTTTGGTTATCAGTTGCAAATCAAGCACCATGTCCCTGGCTTGATGGCTCCAATTTCCCCATTTTGGCCATGAGGAGCTTCCTATCGAGGAGCTAAACCTCCTGGAAGCTTGAGAAGATGCTGGAGGGGCAAGGCAGGAGGACGAGAGAACTTCAAAGGCTTCGTCATGGCCGAGAATTAATTGGTAATGCATCTTCCTGAGGCTGGGGACGGAGCTGGAAGATGCTGGGATCAAAGTGGCACGATCTAACGGCCCCTTCCTTCATCCCAGTGCGGTCTTTGAAGCAGTTGGCACTCGAGGTGGGCGCTGCTGGGCAAAGGGGGGCCTGCAACTGGTTTCCCAATGCAGAGCAAAGCCAGGCCGGGAGAGGAAAAGGGATTTTTGTGTGTTCCCACCCCCCAAGATCCCATGTTCTCTCAGCTGCTGGCTCAGTCTCTATCCCCAGCATCCTGCTGTGCACATCCAGCAGCACATTTTGGGGTCCAATGAACATTTCCACACCACGCAGCTGCTCTTCCAGCCTGGATTCAACCCACCTGGCCTGGAACCCTGAGGGCATATGTAGCGGGTACTACGTGGCCCATCCAAAAATTCCCCAACCTCATTCCCACAGCATCCCAGAGGCATTTAACACCACTCCTTGAACATCAATTCCTCACTCCACGGGGAAAAAAAGGCACCCCAAAGCCTCCAGCAAAGTCCTTGTGACCTCAAAACTAAACTCACCCGGAGCAGGGACCTTCCTGCATCTCCCAACCCACTTCCCAGCCTGGGTAAGGTGAGTAAATATTTAATAGGAATAAATGATTAATTTGAGCTTTCAAAGAGGAGCTGGGTTCCAGGGGCCTCTCTTCCCCTGAGCTGATGCTTAAAAAGAAGCGCAGCACGGATCTTGGCGTCGTTTGCTAGATCATCAGCCGCTAAATAGTTCGAAATCGTCGTGCAGATCTCCAAAACATGTTATTATTAGAATAATAAGCCGCCTTCTTTCCGTGAACTTACCCGACCATTCCTGGCTAATCACCTATTGATTACAATGTAATTAAGGTATTTATTAGCACAAAGGGATGCAGGGAGGGTTTTTCTCCTAAAGGCTTGGGGGAGGACCCCTCAGTGCATCCCTGTGTGGTGCGATCCCACTGTCAGGGGGTGATAGGACTCTTCCCAGGGGATTTGGGGAGGGTGGGGAAGGGTGTGCACATGGAGAGGCTTGCATAGGTATTTATTTTTAATTCCAACCTCTGAATATAACCCCATGAATGGTTTCAGACCACTCAAGGTTGGGAAGGAGCTCAGCACTGTGGTGGAGATGGTTGGGATCTCTTGGGGTGTCTTTCCTGTGAGGAAAAGACCAGAGCTGGCAGTGTGGCCAGCACAGGGCGGAAGCGCCTTCCCTGCCCGCCCCTTGCCCACTTTCTACTTCCAGGGTGCGATTTCAAGCAAGGAATTTTTAATAATAATTTTCCCTGCACGTAATACAGCCCTGTCGTGGAGTGCTGGAGGATAATTATATACACAAAAGGGAGAGTGGGAGTGGAGAAACTGATAAAATAGCATCCTGAAGCAAACGGGCATCTGGAGTGACAGCCTTCAGGTGGGAACAGCTCCCCAGAGCCAGGGATGGAGCCTGAACCGGAGTCTGGTCCTGCATCACATCCGTAGGGATGGGCCAGCTTTGGGGTCCCTCACCGAAGTGTCACCTTGGAGCATCCTGCAATTCCACCTGAGTCTGGGACTCAAAATTTGGAGCTGGACTCATTCCCAGGTGAAAGCCCTTGTGCCCACACAGGGGGTTTGGTGGCTTTGGTGGTTGCATTTGTCAAAGTGGTTATGACCTGGCTGCCTCTTCCAGATGTGCAAAGTCCCAGTACCCAGCTTCTCTTGCAAGGAGAACCTGGAAGGATCAAGTCCAGTAGCACCCAGTGCTCTCCAGTGAAGATTTTCCAGCTCCATAGGTGTGTCTGGTGCAGCAAGATCAGGTCCACCACTGCCCTTGCCAAGCCCCCAACACACTGGCCAAGCTCCAAGCAGAGGAGGTGGCCACAGGGTTGGCTGTTTCCAAAGCCTTCATTGCAGAAGACACCAGTATCACAAGCGTCAGGGCCCTGTGGGCTCTAATGGGCTTTAATGACCCTGAAGACAAGGATCTGAACTTTCAAAGTTCAATGTTCAATGCTCAGCATCTGCTTGGTCTGGGGAAAAACAGGCCTCTGTTTCTTTGGAGTTGCTGAAGCCCAGTTTAACCTGGTTGGACTCGTGTGTTTTACCTCTGAAGCCTGCTCTTACACTGATTTTTAAGTTGTTTTGTGTAAATTCAAATAATTGCTGCAAAGTTATGTGGGTATGTTGTAGGAGTTGTGGAGAAGGGTTGAAGTTTAGGACCCACCTCATGGTGGGGACCTTGTGGTCCTCAGCTCTGTGTTGACCTGGCTCCATGATGTGAGGACCTCTTCCAGGGCAGCTATGGGATGCAACCTGGGAGGTCACTGGTGTCTAGGGATGTGCCAGCTCCATGGGAAAGGCATCTCCAGGCCACAGCACTTCCCAGCAACCCCTGAGGAAGTCACCTCATGGGCCATGGACCCCCTACCTGACACAAGGGCAGGGTCTTCCAGGATGAAGGGCAGAGGATGGGTGCCCTCTGGCCACTCTCTGCTTCTCAAAGCACAGGGACCAGCTGCATTCAGCTCAGCTCTTCCATCCTCTGTTATTCCTCCTCCTTTGAGCCTGCTTCCCAGAATGTGTCCCTGGGGAATGCTGAGAGCCCTTTACCCCTCCTCTATGTCCTCAGGCCACCTTCTCCTCTTCTCTGCTCCAACACATGCTGGTACAACCTGACTTTGGAGCCTACCCAGGATGCCGCAGGGTTGCTCAAGGTCTTTTTGGCCCCAAAAGGTGGATGGGGACCCCATGGAGACACCTGAGGCTTGTTGGGACCCAAGGGGACAGTGTGGTGGGGTGTGACATGTCCTGGTGCTGGCTTTTCTGACGGGCCTCCCAAAATTCCCTGGACCGAGCATAGCAATCCCAAAGGAGGACACTGCATCCCAGGGGATGCTTCAGGCTGGAAGACGTCACCTCCCTGACCACGGCCACATCTGCCCTGGAGATGATGTTGGTCCACCCGCACCAATGCTGTCTTGGTGGCACCCAAGTGTCACCAACCCACGTGGGTCTGCTCTGTGGCAAGACCTCCACCAATTTCTGCCCCACACCGTACTCAGGGCTACTACATGCTTTTCCATCCACCACGTTCCCCATCACCTGCAAAGACATCCTAAATTACCAACCCCATCCAGGTCCCCTTCCCCTGGGAATGTGTGACCCAAACCCTCGAGACTCAAGAATATTGAATTCCCCACCAAACCAACTCCAGACTGGAAGGAAACTCCAACCACATTTTATACATGTATGTATGTATGTATGTATGTATGTATATGTATATGTATAAATAAAAATGTTTGTTTTGTTGGTTTTTTTTTCCAGGAGCAATGGACCCTGAAGTCCAGGCTAAGGGACCCCTCCTCATTCACACCCAGGGCTGATGCCAGTATTTTTGGTGGCCCTGTAATGCCAGAAGATCCTGCTGCCCCATCTCCATCCAATTCCCATCTCCTCCAACCCCAAAATGTGACTCCCACGGTGGTTCTTCCACCACCAGCACTCCCGGGCCAGTGCCTTGGTCAAGACTCCTGTCCCAGAGTAAACCCCAGCATCAAGGTCAAGAGCAATTTTACAAACTGTGACTATTTTTCTTTTCTTTCCCCTCCTTTTTTTGAAAATCCTGTTCCAAATCAGCTGAGCTGGGCCACTCCAGCTCCCTGAACTTGCTCTGCCCCCCTCAAAGCCTGGCCCTGAGGACAGGGTACCCACATTTGGGACCAGCCACTACCACGATTCATGCAGGGATGTGACGGCCACCCCCAGGAGCTTTTCCTACCTCCCGGAGCTCCTTGGCCACCTCCTTAAGCTCCTGTAAGATGCCTTCCAGTTGCCCGATCACCATTTTCATCCGACTTCGGATCCTTTCCCGCTCACAATTATTCTTGCTGCTGCTACAATTGCTGCTGGTGCTGCTGGGGTGGTCACTGGGCTGCCTGTCCTGGCAGGTCCGGGAGTCCATCCTTCCCTACCGGCCTCGATTCCCGTCTCCGATGGCTCTGTCCATCCTGTTCCCCCCTAGCCGGGTGGCCTGGCGTCCGCGCAGCCCCTCTCGGCCGGGGAGCTTTCAACATCTTAACGTTCCCCTGCCTACAAGAAAATCCCAGCCGCGAGGTCGGGGGGCTCCAATTCGGAGCAGGGAGCCAGGTTGAGATGCACCATGTGGAGTCAGGAATGCTATAGATGGAGGCTCAGCCAGTGGCCGTGGTGAGATGTGGGATGGCCATGGGGTGAGCGGAAGACGTGAGCGCTGGAGGAGGAGGAGGAGGAAGAGGAAATGTCCCTCGGATGTCCCAGGAAGGTAAAATCCAGCAGCTCACACCTTGCCTGCTCCCCACTGCTGGGGAGGTGGACGCAGGACTGGATGTACCCGGGGAGCAATGCTCCAGAGGATGTTCCCTTGCTCCAGGATCGCCAACTCCAATGTTGAGGGGTGGTGGTAGGGGAGGGTTTCCCAGCTGGTCGCAGGTGTTCTGGGGAGCCCAGAGTCCCCTCCTGCAAGGACAGACAGGCAGATAATGTGAGGGGGCCATCCCTCCTGGAGCCCTGTCCCCTCCTGCCTTTCCTTGATCTCAGCTCCCGGGTAACGCCCCCCAAATGAGGGTGGGGGCAAGATGGAGCCCGGCATTGCCCCTGGCATCCCCCTTTTCCCTGCCCTTCCAGTTTGACACCCAGAGACCAGGCACAATGGGGTCTGGCTGAGCCAGACAGATGGACAAATGGACAGATGGACAGCCAGACAGATGTGCAGCTCCGGCACTTACCGTTGTGATCCAGATCTCCCCCTTGGCTCCAGTCCAAGCTCTTCCTTGTCCTTTTTTAAAAAAAAATATTTTCCTTCTCCTTTTCTTACTTCCTCCTCCTCCTCTTCCTCCTCCCTCAGGGCTTCTGCGTGGCGCAAGAGGAGTCCAAGGGCCACTTTCCTTCGGTCGCTGTCGGAAGGGGTGAGGTGTTATTAGAGATGACAGCTCACCATGAGGGGGGGCACATGTCCCGGGGGACCGTTATGCTTTGGGGGCGAGTTGTCAGCTACCCACTCTCCCAGCTTCAAGCCCCCACCTTCTCTCGGTAGAGGAGACAGGGGGGAAACCCACCTTGCCCGCAAATGCCCCCCCACCTCTTTCCTTCAGGAGGGGGGAAAGCAGCACGGGCGGAGGAGGAGAGGGGTGGGGGGGCTCATCTTCCCAGCTCCGGGGTGTGCACACGGAAGGGGAGTGGGTCCCGGCATGCTTGCATCTTCATCCCCGGTACCCACATCCCCCGGAGCACCGGGAATGGAGGATGTCAGCACCGCATCCTCCATCCCCGGTACCCTCAGCGTTCATCCCCGGTACCCGCGTCCTTCGGGGTACGGGGGATGGATGATGCCAGTACCCGCATATTCCATCCC